ATTTTACCTTTTTTAGACTTACTCTTTTTTTTTCTAGGATACTTACGAGAATTGTAACCAGTTTTATCACAATTAGAGCATTTATGCTTGGCTAACTTTTTGACTACATCAACCATTTAAGAGTATTTTTTAGAAAGCTTAGTGTAATTGGTATTAGCAACGCCTAATCTCCTTATTAATTCATTATTAATATAATTATCTAAGAATGTAAGATCTTTTGGTACATCAATTAAAAAAAGATCTTTATGTTTATATATTATTTCATAAAATCACATGTGGTTTGTATGCAAATTAATTTCACAATATTAACTTTATTCAGACGATTAAATATCCAGACTTTTATAATACACTATATGGGAAGTTTGCTAGGAAAATGGGGCTCTGGGAATTTTTTTGACTAAAATTAAGGTCTTATTACATTTTAATCTAATAACATCAAAAACTAAAATGCAATAAAAAACAAAATTTTTGTTAAAAAATTCCCAGAACCCCATTTTCCTAGCAAACCTCCCATATATTATTTTTTTTTTAGAATTTATTTTTTTAGGACTCCAATCTGAAGAATGATCAAAGTAAATTTTAATAAAAGAATGCATTAGTTCTTGTTTTTATTTAAAAATACTCTCCTTAAACGCAAACTACCAAACTGCATGGACGTTAGAACTACCAATTTACAGTACTTTATGAAATATCTTAGCACAAGGTTTAAGTAGATGTTGAAAGCTATTTAAGGACATTCAATGAGTCCTGTGGAAAAATTCCTTAACAAAGGTAAATTGATAATAAGTAACTATTTAGTCTTTTGACAATTTTGCTGCTATTGACTCTCAAACATAAATAGCTTACATCTTTATTTTCATAAAAAACTTTTTTATTTTTCAATGTATTCCAACTAAGTAAACCCTAATCCTAATTCTAATCCTAATGAATCTTTTTGTGGTTGAGTAGTAAAGCTAACTGGAGCTGATGCAGATGCTTGTATTCTTTTGCCTGCAATTTCATGCCATTTATTACACAACTCAGTAAAAAATGCATTGACTGTTGCAGGGTTAGCAATTCTAACTTTTATTTCTAAATCAAAAGGCAAATAATTAAATAGATAAGGTATAGCATTAATATCTTGCATTACTTGTACTAGTAGTTTGATTCATTTTTCATAACTATCTGAGGTATCTGTTTCAAAGAATTTTTCATTAACAAAAACAAATATAGCACTTCAGTTAGTACCTACCATAACTTTTCTATATCTTTCACGCAACTAGGCTAGGAAGAGAGGTTTAGTATTAATAAGTGAATTACTTCTGGTGTAAAAATTATTAGCAGGAACAGATACAAACCTTCCAGTCATCTTATTTTTCATAATATTGCTTCTTACTTATGTATTAAATTAAGTGACAGCTAATGAATATGCCATTTCATTTATATTTCTAAGCTTTTAGTAGTATATATCTGAAGGTTCTTAATTATCATAATTAGGTAACTGCATAAGTGCTAGGAAAATAGTATGCATGATATCTTGAATGGTAGCCATATTTTCTGGAGTATTGTTTTATAAATTCAAAATAATTTGCCTCAAATTTAATTTCTTAACCTTTCATTTTTAATATCGATTATATAGTCAGTCTTGATTATATTCTAGTAATCTTATATCATTTCTGCTTTGATGGTAATATCTTTTTAAATTCTAGACCTGTTGAGTATATGCAGTGTATCTTTTTTTCCACCAATATTTTTCATAAACATTTTCACATACCATATCTCTAAAATTAATGATTTTAACATCTTCTTGTTATCAGATTTATCTTTTGTCCTTCTATGCTTACTCTATCATCTATACCCTTCGAAGACAATTATTTCTAAAATTTGTTATATCATTCATAATCCTATTGATCTGCTCATTAGTTGCATTAAGCAAATCTTGTAAGTTAGCATTATCTTAAACATGTTGTTACGTTGGGTTTCGTAACTTCAAATAAAATCTCAAAAAAAGGTAAATAAAATTAAGACAATTACTCAAGGAATCATGGGTAAGGATTCACAATAATGTCGAAGAATTATTCTCAATAATAAACATGTAAGATAAACACAAAATAAATACAAAGATAACTTAAAGATATTTCAGAGATTACGCTTTAGAGACTCTAAGTCAATACAGCGAATCAATACAATATCATATAATAAGTTAACTAACAAAAGGGATTGTAAAAAGGCAAAGGATCACAGATAATGTATAACAGTTTCAAAGATTTTGCGAAGGATAAGTTTTATACTTGGTTAACTATACTCCTTTATTGATATAATATATAGGTTTGATACCTAAAATATTGATATCTTGTCAATGCCGAAACTCAAAGAAAATACAGAGATATTTATACATGTTGAATAAATAATAAAATAAACTAAACTAAATATATCGAAGGAAATAAAGTTACCATTTTGCTAGGCAATAAAGTTGCTGTGTCAATAAAATTGCCAGATCTGCAGGCAACTAAATGGACATCTATGATCTACGTGATTATCAAAGGCAATAAAATTGACATCTGGTGATTTACATAATTGATCGATAGCAATAAAATGGACAAAATGATCTTCATAAAAGATCTACATAGCAATAAAATTGACTTCATATTCTACCAATTAAATTTATCTAAAATTTTACCTGTCACACCATTAATTCTATAACTAATTGATTATTAAAATGAGATCCTTTATCTGATAAGATCTTAGTTGAATATCTATGTCAGCAAATAATATTCTTGTATAAGAACTTAATGACATTTTTAGCAGTGGCATCCTTAACTGCTTTAACTTCTGGCCATTTTGTTAAGTAATTTATAGCAATAATGATATATTTGTTTCCTCTACTAGTTTGTGATAAAGGTTTAATGAAATCTATTCCAATTCTATAAAATGGTGAATCAACTGGAGTAGGATGTAATTCATTTTAAGCCTTCCTTGTCATTGATAAGCATCACATGATTGAATATATTTTCTGATACTTTCATATATTTGAGGTTAATAATATCTAGTACGAATTTTGTTAAACATGATGTCAGTAGAAAAATGTCTAGCTGTTGGATCATTATGTATCATGTAAAGGATTGCATCTAGTTCAGTTTCTTTGATAACTCTTAGAAACTGTTCAGGAGCATTTCTTTGTCTTTGCTTTTTATATAAGAAATCAAGTCGAATTGTATAAAATTTTGACTATCTTTTTAATTTTGCAATTTCGTTTGAGTTAAAAGATGTGGGTAATTAGTTTAAGGTTATATAAACAAATAAATTATTATATTGATTAAGTTCCATGATGTTTGAGCTGTTTATCACAATGTAGACATTTTCGCTTTCACTTTAAATAATTATTACTAATATTTCTTGAATAAATATGGATATGAATCAAAATATTTAAATGTGAAAAATAAGAAGACGTTTAGGGTTTTCAAGTATATAATAAAGTTGAGAATAAAGGTTTTCTTGTTGAATTAAAATTGGTTCATCTCACCAAAGGTTATTAATTAAATAATTCAGGTTCATATCTGGTTGAATTTGTCTTGGGCCAAATCCAATGATACAATAATGTTCGATCGAAAAAGAAGTGGGCGTTTAGGCTATTATACGAAATTTTGTGTTACAGGCTAAAATTAGTGTCTTCTGGCATGCAACATGTGAAATTGATGTAAAAAAAATTTCGTAAAGAAGAGACACGAAAATTTCTGTGACTTGCAAATATGAAAATTTTTCATGACTCGACAATACGATCGTAATGCAGTATGCGAAAATAAATCTCACGACTCACAATATAATCGTAACGCATTACACAAAAAAAATATTTCATGACTCGCAATACAATCGTAACGCATTACGCAAAAAAATTCTCATGTCTCGCAATACAATTGTAACGCATTACATGGAAAAAATCTCGTGACTCGCAATACGAACGTATATGTGTTACATGAGAAATTTCTCGTGACTCGCAATATGATAAATTTACTTGGTTGAATGTTTTACTTAATGCTTAAATTTGATTGGTTAATCAGAGGTCGCCATGAGATCGGGGTCGCCAACTCATTTATTTTGTGATGATTAAATATATTCAGAATTAATAAATAGCCATAATGATGAAAATGAAAAAGGGTTTTTTATAAAAAAATTCAATGAATTTATGTTAAAAACGGCAAAATGAAGGTAAGTAATAGAGATTTTTAATTAATATTACAGCCAAAGATTTGTTTAAAATAAATGAATTTTTTTCTAAAAAAAAAAAATCGAAATTAATTTATAATGCACAGCCACAAATAAATATGATGTCAGAAAAAATTGTTTTAGAGGCTTAGTGTTTATAAAGAGGCTGAGTGATTTCGCAATAATTCTCTTCTTTATAGAAATGTAAAAATAGAAAATTGCTGGGCCCGATTTTAAAATTCACGACAGATTTGATATTATTTAATTATATCATGTGACATCTGCTCAATAAGATTGTATAAATTAGCAAGATTTTTTACTATTGGGTTCATAATAATTAATGGAATTGATAATTAAAAGAACCATTAATTTAGGAACCGATCTTTGAGTTAGTGATCCAACTTTAATATTATGTAATAATAAAGCTTTTATCCAATTGAATCCTCAATGAGTATCGTCTTACTGAAATATTTTGCATATTTGTTAAACACTAAATATTTTTTTGGTTGATGGTAACTCTGACCAATTTATTAGAGATAATTAATTATTAAAAAATTGTGAGTTCTGATGCAAGTAAAATGTTGTATATTCCAGATTTTTTTTTTTATAAATAATGTGAAAATTATGGCTCATGTGATAAATCACCATAAAATTTAACATTAATTTAAAACTTTTATTTTAAGCTTTGCACTTCTTTTGCACGCCACTGTATTTACGAGAACGAATTGAAATTAAAAATAGAATATGAAAAGTTTAGTAATATTTATTAAAAAAATATTTCTTAAAATTATTAAAAAACTTGTGTCTACCAACATACTATGTCGAAAATCGAATTAAACAGACGAGATTTGGTGGCTGCAAAGGAAGAGTTGGGGAGAAAAAAAGCAAAAAATGAGCTGAAAAATAAACTTGATGAAGAGGAGATACAGCAGAAGGAAAAGCTGAGAGAATTGAGGAAAAGCTGGAAGATTATAATGAATGTTGGAGAAAACAGAAGTTGGTGTGATACTGGAGATCGTGTTATGTACAGTACGTTCGGTCACTTCATCCTAAAGTATCTATAACCTTAAGGAAGAGGTTCTGGACAATTTTTTCCTTAAAGGTACAAAACACAAGCCGCGACAGTGTGTAGAGTATATTAGGTATATATCACCATACCAGCATACAGATGAAATTCAACTAATAAACTAACAATTTTTAACGTACCAAATTCAGATCATTCTCCGTTTATCAGCAAAGAAAGTTTGTAGGCAATCTTATGAAGAATACCGCAACAGGTATTAGAAGGATTCTTTTGCTTCATAATCATATTAAACCATTTTAAAGTTCAAAATCAATTTTATTACATCATTTACAAATAATAGCAAAGTTTACAAATAGAATGAATTCTTCGGATTCAGCAAAATGGAATGCAGGATAGATTCAAAAAATAAAAGTTGAAAAATATATGAGGAGCAGAACATTATCGGAAACAGACTATATTTTCCTATAGCAAGTTCAATTCTGTTTATATGATACTGTTTTGAGATTGTATCTGTAGTGATCCGAATATCTACGTGGCTAAGGTGAAGTGAAGGAGGGTAGTAGAGGATAGCCTATCTCTTAGGTATGGAATACGTAGGTCGGTCTTCTGTTTCGTATTTTTTTTTTTTTGCAACCGGACAAATTAGCTTATACTAATATAATTTCTTGGAAAATACGCATATATTTTTGTATTACGATATTAAATTAATTAATTTTTAAAAAATAAAAAAAATGATTTTTTATATAGATTAAATTTATATTTGTGAAAAATAAGATATACCTGCATATGCAAAAGCCTTTACAAGGGCGCCGCCAATTTTTCTTCTTTTTTTTTTTGGTAATATAATAAGATCTAAAAAGTAAATCTTTTATTTAATTATTAGAAAGAAGTTGCTATATCTTTTCGATTTTTTACTCTTTGTGAATGACAAAATAAAGGTAAAAAAGATTGGTCAATTGTTTTTGAGTTCTATAATCGATCATTTATAATATAGTTAATGAACGTTGATGTGTATAAAGCATAATAATGATTACAAGTTTCACTTACTAATGATATTACACTTTAACAGAACATTATAAATAATAATCACTTCGCTTTATCTTCTATTTCCCCTAAGGTTGCCGGGCAAAACCCCGAGGTTTCGACAGGCATCGAAATCGAAACCCATCGAAACGTTTTGCCAAATTATTTTATTAAAGGCAAGATTGCGAAAGTTTCGATGGGTGGCAAAAGTTTCGACGACGATGGCAATAATAAAAATACAATTTTTTAATTTTAAAATTTTATTTTGATTTTACGAGTTGGGTTTAATTAGAAATGTGTTCTATAATACTTCTATCGGTGTTAACGGATCATCCTGTCAGGAGTGGTCAATTCAAAAAAGAGTTTTAGCGATTTCATCTCTTCGTCGTGTATAATAATATTTGTCAAATCATTCATCAAATTTTTTGACGGAATCCACCAATAGGAAGATAAGAATCGATTTTGGTGTTACCATGAAATATATAACAAAATTTTCAACTCTGAATGAATTCTTCGAATTCTCTCAATATCATCAATATAAAGTTTTTAGACCATATCAACAAATGACAGAGTCATAATTATACGTATAAAAAATTTTTCATAAGTATGCCTACGAAGCATAGCTTCTATTAAATGATATTCCTCTTGATGAACAACCATATTCATCCTATCCATCATTCATGGGCGAACGGTTAATAAATTACTCGCTTTCTCATTTGTAGAATAAATCTTTTCTAAAATATCCATTCTACCTATTCAAACTTCTCTCGTCTTATCACTTGATGTCTAGCAAAAAATTCCCAAATATCACCATATTTCTTTTGACATTCTCTACAAAATAATGATATGTCTTCACTAAGTTGATATTGGTTTCCGATAAATGAACCGGGAATACTTAAAATAATAATATGTTACATATTTGAGAGTTTTTAAGCTTTAAGGAATATTTTGTATTAGAAATATTGTTTATAAGGAATATTTTTAATTTTATTCTCGGAGCAATCATTCAACACAATGATCTATGCATTAGTTTATGTGAGGTAGTTTACGTCCTTTTTAAGAATTCGCAAAGTTGTTATCAAAACCGTCGAAATCGTCGAAACTTTCGAGACCCATCGAAACCCATCGAAACTTTCGAAACGATTTCTGAAAAGTTTCGACTTTTGCCAAAATGGGTTTAGGGTTTTTCCCCGCAACTATAATTTCCCCTTTATATATACTGTGTTGAATTCCTTTCATTTCTATCTAAAGCATAGCACACTGTAATGATATAATCTTCTTACGTTTATTCAGTACTTGCGTTCGTTTTCACTCTCTGTCTCCTTTCATTTTTACTAGTAACTTAACTCTTGAAACGAATAGAAATTTAAATTGCTAATACATTAACTCTGCGCATTTATAGTGTTTTTGTTTTTAAACATTTTTAGTATAAAGGATGGTGAACAACATTGAACGGTTGCTTGGTGATGTTTTTACACTATTGATCTTAGACATTACAGTTTGTGCACCGTTAATAAATGGAATTAGATTGAAAATGATGATTCATGACTAAATTTACAGTATATTATCGCAAGTAGTAATAAAATAAGTTGTAGCGTAGCGCAAAGCAATTTACTTTCAACTTATCAATTGATTGTGAAATTTTTAACAACAAGGTTTAAAAAATTACTTATAAGCTTGGATATTTATCATTGATATCATATCGTTAGTAAAATAAACAAAAAATTTCTTCGGATAAATTCGTCTAATTTACAGAAAATAAGTTTTGGAATAATTCATCCGAAAATAGTTAGACTTTAGCCATATTTGTATGGTCATAACAATTGACACATGGATATAATTTTCAAAAAATTCGGTTAAATTTTTGCACAATCCCGAAATAGTTAGACCTTTGTATTTCGAAAAAGAGAATTCATTAAGCAAGTTTAATCTTTTTTTTTTTTTTTATAAAAGGTATTCATTTTTGTTGGTTCCTTCTCGTGTGAATTTTATTAAAAAAAAAAAATAAAAAAGAATGCCGCTTCCAACTCGTGAATTAGGTAAAATTGGAGTCAAGATTCCAACAATTGGCTTAGGATTTATGGTATGTAATAAATGACATCGCAAAAATTTTTTTCGATATTAATAATTGCAAATCCTCTCTTTATTTATAATAAAAATTCAGGGAATGAGTGAATTTTATGGACAATCTGACGAGAAGGAAAACATTACCGTATTGAACAAATCGATCGAATTAGGAAGTTACTTTTGGGATACTGCGGTAAATAAATTAGATTTATTCGATCATTATTTTCGAACTACTGAAACAAAACTAATTATGACTCCTTTATGGTTTGAATGTGACCTTAGGATATGTATGGAAGGGGAGCTAATGAGATCCTTTTGTCAAAAGTTCTTAAAGAACGTCGTAATGAAGTATTTCTTTGTACAAAATTTGGAGTCGTACGAAATCAAATTGGAGAATTACAATTAGTTGATGTTAAAGGTGATCGTGAATATGTTCGTCAAGCCTGTGAAAAGTCGTTGAAAAGGCTTGGTGTGGATTATATTGACCTCTATTATCAACATCGTGTGGATCCTAATACGTAAGCCTAATCAAAATCGTTCATTTTTAACGCAAGATAATGATGAAAGAATTAAAAAAAACTGTACATTTTTTTTTTAATTCAAAGACCTATTGAAGAAACCATTACCGTTTTGGCGGAACTTGTGAAAGAAGGCAAAGTGAAATATATCGGAATCTCGGAATGTTCCGTGAACACTCTTCGACGCGCTTGTAAAGTTCATCCAATCGGTATGATATTGTAATTTTTTTTGAACCGTTGAAAATTTATTATTTTAATATCAAATCCCACCGCTTTTTATAAGGTCGAGTATAGTCCATGGGCGCTTGATATTGAAAAGAATGGAATTATGGAAGCATGTCGTGAATTAGGTGTTACCATAGTCGTTTATAGTCCACTTGGTCGCGGATTCTTAACCGGAAAATTTAAATCGGTCGATGATTTTGAGAAAGATGATTTTAGAAGGACGTTTCCACGTTTCATGGGTGATAATTTTCAAAAAAATTTGGAAATTGTTAAAAAATTTCAGGAATTCGCAAACAAGAAGGGTGTTGCTGCAAGTCAACTTTGTCTGGCTTGGGTTTTGCTCAAGTATTTACATATTTTATCATTTTATCAAATATATTTCAAATGTAATATCCAGTTGACTTTAACAATTTGATTTTCTTCAGGAAGAAAATATTGTTGTTATTCCTGGCACAAAGAAAGTCAAATATTTGGAAGAGAATGATGACGCAGCTAAAGTTCAACTTTCGTCAGAGGAATTATCAGAAATTCGTCAAATTATTAATTCTATTGATATTATTGGGCACAGATATCAAGATGATGCTAAGACTGTAAGTACTTATATTATACTTATATTTTTTTATATATAATGAAATTAACTTTGAATTTTTATTTTGTTTCTCAGTTTTTGGATAAATGAATTTATGGTTTAAAAATAAATTTTTAGAGTTAAAAAAAAATTTTATTTCTTTTTTTTTAAAATCCTTCCAATTTCGAAATTATGCGTAATTAAATTTATCTTTGTGAACGAACTTTTCGGATTTATATATTAAAATTTTCATTATTTAATGAAACGTGAATAGCAAATTCTACTTTTATCTATGCGTGTACATCCAATAGTTAGTTATTTTGGAAATTTTGGAAGCAAGAATTGTGTTTGTCGAATAGTTCATTATAGATAATTTAAAGAAAAATAAAATTTAATAAATGATAATATTATTATTATATAAGCTCAATAACTCTGATTAAGTTTTGAAATTTGTATTAATTTATAAAAATGAAAGAAAATTCTTGTTTAAAAAAAATCATGACTATGTTCGATTAAACATAAAAGTACTTAAAGGGTTTGGAATTGCAATTTACTTTTAAAATCATCTATATCAGTAATTATCATATTATCTTCGGTTAATGTATAAATTCCTACATTAGCGTTAGCGCTTCTTAAAGATCTTAAATGTAACGACATTTTTTTAATCTTTGATGATTTTGGATGAATGTTAGCTTTATAAAATTCCAAGACATCATCTTTGGTACTCCTTTTTAATTCTTCGACATCCTTAATATCTTTGAAAATTATAAAATAAATTGAATATATGTTTAAATAGAATATGAAAATTAACAATTTGGGCTTAGGTGCTTACATTTATCAAAATCGTAAAAGCCACTAAAAATCTGATTAGAATATAAATTAGCTTTGTCCTCCATATTCTTTTCTTTTTCTAATAGGTGGTTAATTAATGGTTGTTTTAGATTTTGAAATTCTTTTTCCGTCATTCGTTCAATAAATGACTGTATTATTACATGTATTTATTAAAATAGTGTTTTAAAAATGTTTGATTTAATATTTTTAAATGTTAACAAATTTACCTGTACTTTTATTAAATATTTTTCAATTATATTTTCTAAATAAATGGTATCTCCCTCATTTTTTATATGAATGATAAATCCCGCATCTCCAATTGAAAGAAATGGTTCGCATCCTATTCAATGAAACGACATATGTACTGTTTAATTAATAGAATGGAATGGCTTTACTAAATCATTAAATACCTCACCTATTTGCCAAAAGAAACAAAAATATTTTCGCAAGATTCGAGCAATTAAATTTAAACTTATCACAACGTATCTATCCTTAATATCGTTACATTGCAAATAGTATCTAATTGTACTATCATTTTCAAAAACATTTTTTTGATAAACATATTTTTTTCCTTGAGGTAAACTAATATCACCACATTTAACCATTCTAGATTTCTCAAGAATCCTTGGTTCCAATATTTGTTCAACCTTATTTATCATCATCTTCATATCTTCTTCCTCCATGTTTCCAAATACAAGTGATTCAATAAAAAGTTGTTGAAATAATTTAGGAAAAAATGATTGTACATCTTCCATACTAATATCTTTTAATGCGGATGATATTTCTTCTGCTGTAAAATACCATTCTTTAAAAAGTAAACAGTCATAAAATGTTAATGGTGGATTTGATTCCATTTCGTAATAACGATTCATTAAACTTTTCTTTAGTATTTTAAATCTATCAGGTTCGATCACAAGATTTTTCATTCCTTTTAAAACAAATTCTAATAATTTTAATGCTTTATCATTCCGTCCCGATACTCTAACAAATATAAAATCTGCTTTTACACAGCTGTTATATTTTAATCCAGCAAATAACGCATCATATGCTCTGTCTTCAATTGAGTCATTAAATAAATTAAGATACAATTCTGTTTTAACCAAATTTGTAGGTGTAAGTTTAATAAGGGGTCTATCATATATACATATAATGATTAATAATACGTAATAGAATAATAAATACGAATTAAGTTAATATTTACGCACGTTGTGAGTGATAATTCTATTTTCACTTTCGGAGTCGACAATGTATCATCCTTTGCATACCAAACTCGATGTATGCCATTTTCACTAATAATATTCGGACGGGATTTTGGCTAAAATAATAAGAAGGTTAATAATTAATTAAGGAATTTTCTAAAACAAGGTCTTGATTGTAAATACCCACGGTTATATTTTCTAATATATTTATGATAGGAGTGGACTTAAGTTTCATAATCACAAAATAAAAAGTTAACTTCAAGCAAATTTTTGAATTACAGTAGCAAATATCTTTAAAAAATTTTCTTACTTACTCTAATTAATTCTTCGATAACGTTAATGGGTTCATTTCTATATTCGGCATCAAACAAACATTTTCCTTTAGCGTTAATTGATTTTTCACTGGATTCACATTGATATTTATGTACAGCGTCAAAACATCCCTTGCTGTCAAAACCACTTAATAATTTACTTGCTACACTAATATTGCTATTTTCAATTCTTAAACATTCAAGTAATTCAATGATTAATTTTCGATCATACTTATAATCTTTATTTGAACTACTCAATATTCTATCACGTGTATATGGCTTGTGTAATATCCGTGCAAGTGGGCTTGTGTCATTTGATTTCCAGGATATTTCCATAAATCGCCGCCAAGATAATGATTGAACCTTCCATTATAAATGAATTTTATTGAATTAATAATATATATATATTTATATTTTCTAAAAAAAAAAAAAGATCATATGTTTCACTCAATTATAACTTGAATAACTACTTACTTCGTAATGCGGACCACCTCTTCTGAGCATCTGAAATATAATTTCTAATACATCTTCATAATGTCCTGTATTTTTTTAAAACGAGGTTATCAAAGCCTGTTCTTGAAATCAATTGTAGAAGAAAATTTTTACGTTATTTACCTACGCCGCCTTTAGTTAAATCAATACTGACTGTCAACATATGTAAATAAACACTATATTCAATTGTTTTGACATTAATAGAAGTTATCCATCCTAGTAAATTAAATCCAAAGCGTTAAAAGTTAAAAAAAAAATTTTCATGAAAAAATTCGATTTTAGAAAGGATGTAATATTCCTTACCTCGTTGTTTCAACAAAGAACAAATTGATCCAGCTCCTTCATGACCTATTAGATGACTAACATATGATGCAGCCTTACAAAAGATGATATAATTAATTGCTAATGTTTGTCTTATAAATGTACTGACACAGTTTTATAAATTATGATCATTACCTTTTCTATTTGATTCGCTATAGGAATATAGACGTATAACTTATGAATATCCGTGTGAGGTCTTACTATAATTTGTTTCTAAATATTAAACTAATTCAATATTTAAAGTAAAAGAAATTAATTTTAAAAAAATAAAAAAAAGTACGTACACCTTCTCTTAGTGGAATTTCAATTTGTCTTAATGTTTCGATATTCTTATTTTGAATATTAGAAAATTTTTCGTTATAACAATGTTGAAATATATTATGATCTCCCAAAATTAGATATACCTCGTTATAATCTTCTCTTGGATACTTAAAAAGTAAAAAATAAAAAAGATAAAATAAATTAATAATAATCTCCATTAGAAAATACGCGATTCTACACTTAAAATGGTACCTCTATCGTCCCCTAATATTAAATAAAAAAAAGAAATATATCAAAAAAAAAAAAAATAGACATTTAATTATAAAAGAACTAATTCGTGACATCTTAAACATTTACCATAATTAATAAATTGAACGCAGTAATGAGCATGGCCTGGGAAGTATGTTAAATTTAAAGATTTGTTAAATCATCCACACCTTTAAAACCTTTGGAAAGGGTTACAGGATTATCTTACCATATCAGAATAATAATCAACATTAATATCCATTGAAGCAGTAGCTTTCTCGGTTTTAACATCATTAATTATTAAAACTTCAAGATTATTTTTCAATAGAATTATTATTCTATAAGGACGAGTATCATTATCCGACTTTTCGATCTTTTTATCGAATACAAGATGAGTTTGATCTTTAGAGACAACAAAATCCGATAATATTTCGTTAAAATCATCATTAAGATCATTGAATTCTGCTGTATAGGGGCCCATTTGCAAGAAGGATGAATTTTTCTTGGAGCTCTAATCCATTAAGCTTGCTAGTATTTATAAATATTTTGGGATCAAATCAATATTTTCAATTAGTACCAAAAAAGACCGGCCAAAAGAATTAATTTAATCAGCCGCAACATAAATAATAACACTCTTTGCATTACATTGAAAGAACAAAGGGATATATAATATTTTTGAATTATGCAGAATTTTCTTTTCAGCATACTGCAAAAGCCAGTGGCTATTCATTTTTTAGACTTGTAATATCTAATGACGACATCAAAAATTACTAAAATTATAAATAAATTTCGGTTAATAATAAAACGGAATTGTTTAAAGAACTTAACTCATTTTAGTATACAATTGAAAGGACAATGAGCTAAATACTAAATTTTGAATAAACTGAAACTTTAATCTACTGCAAAATTTAGTGGTTATTCATTTTGTAGTATTTATCCAATGGCGTTAATAACTTACCTCAAAATATAAAAATATATTCCTATTAATTATGTTATGGTACCGAACCTGTGAGACCAACCAAGCCCAGATACTTCGAAAGTATTTTCGGTAAACTTTTATGGATAATGAAAAATGGAGAGGTAAATAGAGTTTAATTAATTAAGTACACTTTTAGTAAATGATTGAAAGAACAAAGATACATGAACTATTTTTCAATTAATTGAAACTTTAATAATTTTTTCAGCAAATAGCAAAAGTAGGGTGAGACGTATTCTTGCGTATAATCTCCAAACACGTAATTTTTAAAAGTCGAGAACTTACGATTATGAACATTAAAATTCCTCTATTAAATATTTCTAATTTAGATTCAAAGTAATCTTTTAGTGATACCATGTGAAACAAAAACAGAAACAAGCCCATATCCTTAGAAAGAATTACTTGAATGGAATTTTTTAAAAAAAAGACTAAACTAGGCCAGGGAAAAACGCTAGGTTTTTGGTCCAACAAACAAACAAATCCAAAAATGGAATACAATCGGAGTTATGTATTATGAATTCCCCCATCAAAAGTTTACGTCGATCATTTTTAAATCAAACTTATCAAAAAAACGATTTTAATAGTAATACTTCCAGCATTTCATTCGTTTCATAACTCAGCTCATTATTAGCTTTCCATCAAAAGTTCACTTAAATTTATTCATAATTTTCAATAATATTATAAACCACTTATAATATTTTTTAATATTTAGTTAGGTCATTAAAGCATCAATAATTCAAACCCTGACCATGATTTGAAATTTCTTATCATAATTACATTTTATCAACGCATGTTAAATCGGATGACCGACCAACCCCTGTTTTTAATAATTTCATGCACAATCACAAAAGCCATATTATACAATTAATTAAAAAAAATTTGTCGGAAACCTTAATTCACGTTATTGGGATTTAATCATTTTAAAATTTATGAAGAGTTTATAAATGAATAATTTTGTTTTTTACGATAAATATTCAGTGTAGTTATACATTTTATGACCCAAACATTTTTGAAATTAATCCGTCCTATCCATGCATGTTATTCAATTTAATAAAAATTTAAACAATCATATTACCTTTCTAAGGATCAACGACGACGCTAAAAGATATGTTACACCATTTAATTACAGTACTTTTAGCAGGTTAATCTTTATAGCGATAAAAAAATTTCCTTTCGCTGACTTTAAATAAATCTTTCCAATTTATGTCCAATAAAAAAACTTCGTACAAACAAGGAACTTGATAAAAAAAACCATATAATTTTAATTATGATTGAAGTTAGACTTAGGTCTTTAGAATCTAACTTTAAAATCTAAATTTTTTCTGAAAATCACATTTCGTAGTTCTTCAAGGATGATGGCAGTACTATGCTTAAAGTAAAATGTGAAGTAAATTTCGTGTCTCATCAGGTTATCAAATTAATATAAAAGAAATAAGTTCACTTTACACCACCTGCATTTAAAATAATGATATAGTACGAGGCTCACAATAAATTCTTAAATCAGTATAACTCTAAATGTTTTTATAGCAGTTTAAAAAATTGACCTTTATTTCATGGAATTATCACGTGGCTTAGGATATGGATATGTATCACCATATCATCTTTTCTATATAAGTTAAATACTACAAATTTAATAAAGCTTAATTATTATTTGCAAGAAATTTTATTATATTATCAAGAATCTTTATATTTGTTATTTAGAGGTAAAGTTTAAATAGCAAATATTTTTTATATAATTATATTTACATAATTGTCATTGGCGCGCATTATGGCTATCTGGAGTAAGTTTATAAAAATCACATTTGCACTTACCTTTATTAATTATATTTATAATATATGTTATCCGGTTAACACTAGGGAAAGTTTAAATTTTAACTAATTGGGGTTAAATTAAATTTCTGAAAATTCAAAACCATTCTACATATCTTAAAAAAGGGCAAACCTTTTTTTTTCGTAAATTTTCCTTCCTTGCCGATCATTGCCGATCACTATTAAATTCAAAGATAATATTCACCAAGCCAATTCATAACAAGGCGGCTATCATATTCAAGTTTTTCTGGAAGAGGTCCTGATGACTTGATTTAGGAAGAAATGAATATTCACCACGAGATTTACCCCAATGTTTTGATAAGACTGTGATAGACTGTTGAGAATCCTTTTTGATACGGAACTTCATCTTGAAATTTTTACGATTAGCAGCAAAATTGGAAGAATATCCTTTAAGCAAGTCATTCATTGCTTCATCACGAATTTCATAGTGATATTCGACGATTGAAGTTTAAGGCGTTTAGACATAGTGCGCGTAGATCCTTCTTTTCTCGTTTGATACCTTCTTTTTCGATCGCGAAAAGACACCGATTATATGTCCACCGTGCTGTTCCCATCCATCTTCTGAGTTTCAACCGCTCCTGCTGGTTGGGATAAATGCGAATCCGTTGTACCTTGCCTGCTGGAAGTTTTTTATTTCCTTCTGGAACTCTTGATTCTCTTGTGCAGCATCTCTTCTCCTTCTGCGCCACAAACACTGTGACGATTGTAAGCAAGTCTTCCGCAAATTCTCCAGCTTCACTACTTTCGGCACTAACACCCGTACCGCGTACCACAAGTTGAGTACCATTCTTCTCAAAGATTCATTTCACAAGCTCGGTTCCGAAATAGAACAATCAGTCCTAATAGAAAAGTTAGTAAAATAAAAAAAAAAAAAAATAAATCAAAGCAAATAAATAATTAATCTCAAACCTTTCGGGTAACCATCACTTCTTTGATTCCTCCTGAGTGTAATCATTCCAGAAGGGCAACAAACCCCCTGTGTTTCTAGTTGTGCCCTGAGCCAATATTGCTGACAATTTCATATTCGTGAGGGCCTTTTGCGCGAGTTTGTGTCTGTTTGTCTCCAAAAATTCCTCATGTCTGAAATTAAGTAGAGTCGTTTCCCACCGGGTGTCCCGACAATTGAAATTCTTCCAGAGTCTGCACATCTTCGCAATGTTCAGTTGAGACGTCATACGTCTCTTTGATTTTATTTGCACTTTGGTAAGTAATCTTGTTTTGATCCAGGTCGTTAAAAATGTGGTTTTTGTTTAGGAATGTGAGGTTACCGGCAGAACTGTGTTGCTTAGAACTATCTTTTCTTATATTTGATTTAAAAGGTGAGGTTCTTTACAAAACTGTATTAATAATTAGTAAGCGAAAAATGTGGTTTATTCCAAAATTTTCAAAATCGTCACAACGTTCGATTACGGTGGCCTACTGACTTAAATTTATTTTGTTCCTTTCAACAATCGATTTAAAACAATTCTAATACAATTTTTCAGTATATATACTCGAATGAACGCTTACTATTAAAGTTGAGTCACGAGATATAATAAATCATTTGATTTAAACGAATGTGGTTTAATTGCAAACCACGATTTATTTATGTATCTCGAGAATTCGCGAAAACATTGAATAGACCATTTTCTGTAAGGTACAACCCATATACTGAAAGTATCGAGGGTCGATAAGAAAACAAATATTTTCCATATAAATTATATTTTTTGTGTAAATTTTAAATTTATTATCGTTCCTTTTTATTATTCTTGGCAAAGATAATGGTTTCATTTACTTAGCGCTTAAATTTTTTTGTTTTTTTTTCTTTAAAAAATACTTTTGACTCGCATCATTTTATCATCATTACTTCTCTATTTTTGATATTTATTTAAAAACAACTTATCAAAATGGTATAACCATTGTAAAAGCTTAAAACATAGTGTATGCATTGTAATTTGTTTGTGTTGTCTCAATAGTTTGAAAAAAAGCAAAAATAAACTTGCGTTACAAATGCATTGTGTATTGTTGAACAATAATTAGATTTATTTACGAAAAAGGAAAGCAGTAAAAATTTGTTGAAAATCATTACCTTATATAGTAATATATTTAACCTAGATCATTAAGGATTGGTTCTAAAGAAATTTTACAGTTTCGTTGAATTTCATGGAGTCTTGATCTAAATAAAATACATTAATTTTGTTAATAACTGCGGGGATCGCTTCATTTTAGCAAATTGCAAACTTCGATTTTGACTTTTGATGAGATTTTTTTTCAAATTTCGACAATTTTATTGAATTATTAAACCAAGATATTTTCGTTTGTACCGAAACATATGAGTTTTTGCCACTTTTTCTTCGAAAGTGATTCATCAACATTATTAAAAGGAAATAAAGAAATATGCCACCATGAAACACAAAGGAAAAATGACTCCGGGAATCTCATCAAATTCAAATTTTCTAAAAAAAGAATCCAGATTATCATAATTTTTATAACTTATTGGAGAAAAGAATGTATAAATAAACGCATTGAATTCACGAATGTACAGTAAATTATAAATGTAAGGAAAGTCATACAAGGAATACCAATTTTTATTTGAGATTATTATAATGACGGAATTCTTAAAAATCTGACTGGAAATTTGTTTGCGACGTCCTAATAATGTTTGAATTCTGGTCATTAACATTTTATTCACGTTCTCTGTACATAGTGGTATATCGGACCACCAACTCATCTTAACATTATTGATCATGGATATTTCGAATGTAGAATTGATGACGCTTATATTAAAATTTATGGTTTTGAATTATTTTATCAGATTTAGAATCGGACCATTACCATTATAATCTTTCGTATACAGAATCAGAATTGCGCAAAAAAAATGAGCAAAAAATCAATTTTGAATTATTAAATTGTAGGATTATTTCTTCTTCACAACTGATATTAACAAAAAAGGAGAGAAATAATTGAAGTATTTAGTTTATTTTCATTTTAAAGAAATTGTAAATTATTTTAGTGTAACGGTAAAACGTTTAGTGTAACAATAAATCTTTAGAACTGAAATTGAATTCATTTGAATTTTGATTTTCCGGGTATGTCCACTTATTCTGGAATTAGGAATTCCAATTCTAGATACCTTTTTTGTTAACTTCAGGTAAATTATAAAAATTTATTTTATTTTTACAATTTCGTATTAAAGTCTTTGAATACTAATAAACTTGTCTTTTAGCTGATTATAATACTTAATTAAGTAAATTTAAAGGTATATGGACATTTTAGCAAATATTAATTGAAAATTTTTATTAAAATAACATTTTTTTAAAATACAATATAATTTTTTAAAAAATAAAATTAAATATACCAGATACTGTATATGTGTGCGTCAGATGTCGATTTGCGTCAACTGACGGTTGACGTGCGTCAGATGACTAATGCTGGCCAAACCTTCTTAAGGCACTATAAAATCGACCTAAAATAGGCCCATAATTTAGGCCAGTCGGCATCTGACGCAAATAGTCATTTGAGGCACAACATATACATGAAATAATACATATAGTCAGAACATATCGGATATATCGATCATTTAATACACTCTCGTTTAAACTATTTTTTAAGATTTTTTTTTTTTTTGATCTATATTAATACATATAAAAATCGTTATATTAAATTTATAATTTTTAATAAAACGATTTTTTTAATAATAAACCAGGAAAGGTCGTTATATCGAGTTTTAACTGTTATAACTTTAAACATAAAATATAATTCCATAAAGAATTAAAAGAATAGTATAGAAATAAACAATCTATTTTTTTTTAAAAAGAAACAACAAAAAGTAATATACAAAATCTCATTTTTTGAATGATGAAATGATCGGCAATTATCAGCATCTGCGTTATAGTAATTTACAGTTATGTGCTAACGTTGCATAGTTGTTAATAAATTTTAATAATTAATTCCATATATAAAATCTGTAAAGTTTAAAATGGATTATCTTATAAGAAACAAAAAAACGAATCTATAAAGATTTGATAATTGATATTCCTAGCAAGTTGTATCTTGATAATATGCTAATAATTCTTTTTTTTTTTAAAAAAAACTAATTTATTCAAAAAATATACTAATAATAATAAATATTATTTTAATTAAAATTTTTAAAAAAATTCACGCGTCATAATCACAAATTTCAATAGGTTTTAACGTTAATTTGTAAAGTATTTTTATTAATAATTAATTTTATTTATATTTTTCTTATTAGAATATTTTGAATAATCTAAATGTTTCTGTTAAAATTATATTCGATTAAACCAAATTTTATTTATTAAATATTTTCTAACTGTTTTATTTCATACAAATAATATTTTATAAATTAATTTTAATTTAAGAAAATTTTATAATAATTTACAATGTGTATGTATTTTATAAATAAAATTGATATATAAATAAATTGTATAATTAAAATTTCAAATAATTCAATATAATGTAATTTCTAAAATTGATATGTATTTATATTATATATACTGTATATATTTTTTATAACAAAATTTAAATTAATTTAAAGTATATAAATCGTTCCTTTCTGATTTTTAGTGATCATCATTTTTCGATAAGAAAACAAAATATTCTATCAAATTAATATAATTGACCAAAGCTATTTATTTATTTTGATAATTTTGGTAATTTTGGTAAATAATATTGATTTCATTTATCTGAACAAATTGTTAAATAAAAGAAAGAAGGATCATCTCATTTATCATGTTTTTTTTTTTTTTTTGAGACATTGCTTAAACTTCAGAACATTGGATTTAAAGAATTAATTTTAAATTTTTCTAATTAAATTGTTTCTATTTCCAATTATTGCAACTTGGTTTATGTTTATCAGAAATATTATCTACCTTATCATAAAGTTTCTAATAACGTGTCGGGTGATTATCCAAATCTTTTTGATCTTTGAAATAGATTTTGTGAATTATTATGGTGGTAATCTAGGAGAAGAATTATATTTGTAAACTATATGTTGTGTGATGATTGGATTTGGTGTCAAATAACTTTTGTTTTGATTTGGCAAATATTGGAAAGCTGACGCTTCACTGATTGTTATACATCCATGTTTTTAAAATATTTATTATTTATTTAGTAAATGGTTTCTTAAAAAACTTCTCATTTAATACATGCGTTACGCAACATGTCATGTGGAGTTACGCAATTATGGTGAAATGAAACGCGTCACAATTAATCTGCGCCACGTGAAGCAAATTAAATTCTTAAAAATAAGAAATTATTCGTTAATTTAATTAAAGTATTATTTACCTTTTTGTTAAGTTGATTTGGTTTTTTTTTTAAAGAATAATTTTTAATTGCAATTATCTACATTTCTTTTTCTAGATACTTTCATTAAAACATCTTCTCAAAATAGTATATAAATCAAACTCAGTACATAACTGATGATATGCATTGTATTTGTTTTGTTTGGTTTCATTAATTTCGAAAAAAACAGAACTTGTTTCATTGTGTTTTTGTGGTTTTGTGGCTTTTGTCGATCATCATGCAACCTTAACGATACACACTAGCTATTATCAGTAAGTGTACTTTTTTTTTTCATTTACGAAAGAGGTAAAGCATCATTAATTTAAATACCTTGTACAGAAATATATGTTTTGGGAAACCCTTTGCACAACGCACATTTGGTTAAATGGATTTTCGTTGAATTTCAAGGGGCTCGATATAAAAAAGAAAATAAAAATAATTTAAATTTGTTAATAGCTGCGGAAGTTGTTTCATTTTAGCAAATGACAAAAAGTCGAAACTGCTATGGCTCGATTTTTGACTTTCGATGAGAATTTTAACATATTTTGGACTTTCGACAATTTTAATTTATTATAAATTCGTTTCACTTGTATCAACCCAATAAGTGGATTGCCCCTTTTTCTTCGAAATTTGCAACCAACATGTAGATCAGTCAAATAATTTTCCTAATTCTACAAGTCATTTATTAAAATTTTGTGAAAAAATGGAACAATATCAAAAAAAAAAAAATATCAAAGAAAACGCCATCAGGAAACACGATGGATAAATATCTAATTTTCAGAAAGAAAACAAAATTAGATTGATTATCTACATATTTTGGGGAAAAAATTTATATATAAACACGTCTTAAATTCAATAACGTAAATGTAAAAAAATTTTACAGTACCTTAACAAATGGATAAGAGAATGCTATATACTTCAGAAGACTCATATCCTCAAAGCCGGGAACCGAATAGATCGTGTGATGATAATTCACCCACGTATTTAGCCATAAGTCCGAACGGGATTCTTGCGGCAACTTTTAATTCTGGTATGAGTATTCATTGATTATATTTCTTTTTCAGTTGACATACCGCTGAAATAATTACTAATTTCGTCATTCATTCGTCTTAGTAACTTATGAAATTAAAATTTACGGAGTGGTTAACAAAGAAGTTCCTACTAATCTTTGGTTTACTGAAAATGAAATGAAAGAATTGGAGAAACATTCTAAAGACGTGTCGTTTTCTTTGGCCATTTCCGATTCAGCAGATAAAGATGATGTAGTATATGTAGCTGTATCACGTTTTAAAAATAAACCAATCGAAAATCAAAAAACTAATACAGATGAAGAACAAGAGGCTGATTCTAGGAAAGATAACCCAAGAACTATTAAGGATGAAGAAAAAGAGATTGGTTATAGGAAAGATAACCCAAGAACTATTAAGGTTGAAGAAAAGGAGATTGGTTATAGGAAAGATATTCCTGGTAGAGAAAAAATGATTGATCAAACGTTTGTGTTTTCAACAAAATTAAGTGCGCGTATCAAGACTGCTGCAGACAATCGCGGTGGGATTGTTAGATTTTTGAATAATAATTTGCCAAAGGAAGCCGGTCAATTGAATGGATTCACTAATCTTATTGTAATGAACGCGTCTGAAATCACAAAAGTATTCATCAATAATATCAATCATAAAAAGTTTAGCGATCGATCAATATTTAAAAATTCTTTGGTCTCGGAAGAATATGAATTTCCAACAATTATTCAAGATAAATTATATCATAACTCTTGTACTAGATTTTTAAATACCATCGTTGAAAGAAATTATTTATTTGTTGAAGATTATAAAAATCATATACTTGAAATGTATAATTTACATTCCATGAATTTAGATTTGACATTTCAAAATCGTGATCAAGTTACTCTTTCAAAGCAGTTTCATGAAAATGCTATTTTTTCCATTTCAAAACACCGTCATCTATTAGCATATTGTAATGGTACAAAGAGTATTACGATTTATTTGATGGAGAATGGACTTGAGGTTACAACGAAAGAATTTACCGATGCAAACAAAATCCTTTTAATTTCATTTATTGATGATGATGAAAGATTACTCGTCGTCACTGATAATATCACTGAGGAAGCCACTGAGCAAACCATTGAAGAAGGCACTGAAAATACCATTGAAGAAGGAACTGTAGAAGTATCCGAAGAAGGCACTGTAGAAGCATCTGAAGAAGGCACTGAAGATACCATTGAAGTAGTCACAGGAACTTTCACTCCAACGATAAATATTTGGGATCTTTTCACTTTTAGTAATGATGTACGAGTGTTTGACGATGATTCAAATATTTTTAGTTCCTTACAAAAGTCTAATAGTCACTCAATAGCTTTGTCAAATGGATCAATACTTGCATCTTTACAGGATGGAGATATTTGCAAATTTTCGTATGATAAAATTAAATTAAAGCCACCTAATATATCACCCATTAATCAAGTTCAAGAGGATCATCAAGAGATGGATGCTAAGAAAAAACCATACCCCATTATTAAAGAACCTTGGGTTAGTAATAAGAAAGATAAACATATTCCTTCTTATCTTGATGAATATAAAACAATTCAACTTATAATTGGAGAAACAACAGTTCAAGTTTGGAAGAAAAGAAAAGGTCATGACGCTACAAATGATCGGGTTTTAAAATATATTTGGGTAAATCTAGGTAAACAAAATATTAAAGTTGATTCTCTAAAGATTGGAAATTGCGAATTTTATTTAGATTTGTCATGGGATGTACCTAGTAATGATAATACCAGTGTTCCTAGTGATGATAATAATACCATTCCTAACCTCCCGAATGATTCAAAGGTAAAAAAGAAAGAGCATATTCATTGGCCAAATAAAGCTCATGTCCTCAAAGATGCATGTGTTGCTATGGAGTATCTTTACAAGCGAAGATATGATTCTGCAGGATCGAATAACTTAAACAAATATGAAGAATTGTTTGTAGGCACAGAAAAACTTATTAATAAATGTATCAAAAAAAATCCGAGTTTATGGAGTTTAACTGAAGTAAGATATGGAATTATGGCCAATATCATTCGATCAAAAAATATACCATTATTGCATCGGATTCTATTCGATTATAAAGAAGCAGATGGCAACAAACAAGATGAAACGAGAGTTAGCCGTTACTTGCATATTCCAAGGCAGTTTGGGTGGCCTATAGAAGAGGAAGAAACGAAAGAAAAGAAAGAAAAATATGATTTGAAGCTAGCTATTGGACAATCTTTAGGTGAAAATCGTAGGGATAAATCTATCGTCGCCATGTTACTCGAATATTATTCAAATAATGCGGAAAAGGATATAGGTGAGTTAATTAATTGCCTCACATATAAATAGAATTTTGTATTCATATAATCATACTGTTACGTTAGGTTGGATGTTTACAGTTACAAAGTCTCTTCCTTCGCTTAAAAAATATCACTTTGGTATGTTCCTCACACGTAGTTTGCGTCTTTCAAACGTACTATTATCAGACAATAATATTTGACTCATTTCAAATCTAGAACCTTATTTAAAGGAATTATTTTACAAACCTTGCTTTGGGTCCAAAGAAGAGTTTGTAGATTCAAAATTTGTTTCTCAACGTAAATTGAAAGAAGGATATAAATCAGAAATTTGTTCATTAAATGTGAGACCGCGACTTTTACTGAAGCAAAATAAATCTTCATGGTGGAATAAATTAAAGTCGTTGAAGATTTTTGAATGGAGTTCAAAAGATACGGGTAAAAAGATTCCACGAGTAACGGCAGTACGCGTAGTTCCGTTACCTGATTTTACAGTTTATCCAACTAATGCGACAGATAGAACACATAATAATTGGATGATTCCGTTCAAACTTATCAAACTCATAATTTTTCCAAGAATTTATTTGATTCATGATAAAAATCATTTTAGTCCTTTTCTAAAACTTATGAGTAAAAATGAAAATGAGCAATTATATGATAATCCAGCAATGGAAGCGTGCATTGATTTCAAATGGGGAGCAGCGAGAAATTGTTTCTTACGTCATTTTACATTATTCATAGCTTTTTCGCTCACATTTGCATTAGGTTCTGGAATAATCAAAGATGTCAAAAGTAAAATATTGACAGGATTATTTTTTTATTTTGGATATTATCTTTTGATGACGGAATTTATACAATTAAAGCATCAGGGATTTAAAAGATATTTGAGCATATATAATATTCTTGATGTTGTATCAATTTTTCTTGCATTAATTACGATGATAATCTATCTTACCCTAATTGCAGTTGAAGTTAACATAGTTCTGCAAGCTTTTGCGGTCTTACTTTTATGGTTTGAATTAGTAAGCATTATATTAATCACTTTAATTTCTAAATCATCAAGTTAATATCTTAATTTATTTATCTAGTTATTACTGACGCGATACTTTAAGGGTGAAAATCTTATATTCATTTATTATACTAATATATTTGTATAGTATTAACTTAATTATTTTTTATTAAAAGGTACTGCAACTTATATTAGCATGATAATAAATATTTTAAAAGCTATTTGGCCGTTCCTAATTTTTATGGTATATTTTTAATAATCTCATTATAAGAAGGATTAAAATGTAATAACGCATATGTATAATTAATTAATGAACTAAAAATTTATGTAGTTAATCGCGACCGTTGCCTTCGGTCATGCCATAGTATGTCTGCCTCATTTTTATTTTTATTTTTTTTTTATCATCCAAGATTTTAAGGATCGATCTAATGTATTCTTAATCTTTTCTTCTTTTTTAATAATAAATTCAATAGCATATCATATTAGAGCATCCTAATCTTATTGATTTGAAACCTAATGGCAACAAATTTGTGATAAACTCAACAAATCCAGACTTTGACGGCCTTACAATTGAACAAGTCTTTGATGTTGATGATCCCATGGATAATTATTATAGAAAATTGACATATTCTGTTATGGGAGCATATTTTTGGATCCTTGGGAGATGGGATCAAATAGAAGTATGGGATTTCTGGCCAATTTATGTAATTAGTATAGGTATATCTTTCACATATAATATATTATCGTGCTGGTTATGTTGTTAAATGGTTTAAATAACTTTTCTTTCTTTATTTTTTAGGAGCAAGTATTTTAATAGTCACCATCATGCAGAATTTGCTGATCGCATTTATGACGGGTGTATATGAGAACGCAAGACATAATGTAAAATTGGCGGTGTTAGGTTATAGAGCTGATTTAGTCGCTGATTATGAAACGTTAGAAAAACCATTAGGTAGTTCAAGAGGGAATCCGAGGTACATTTATTATGTTGGAAATGCTGAATATCAAGAGGAATGGTTAGATAGAGCTGAAAAATATAGGAAATTTCATAAATCATTATTAATTGAAGATATTAATTATCAATTATTAAGCTATCCTAACGTTTCAGATGATTCGGATGACTCGGATGATGATGATCAGGACGAACAATCTTTAAATGTAGCAAGTAAAGATAAAAATGATCAAAAATTTAAATTGGCTGTCGATGATCATGAGGATAAATCTATCATCACGAATGATGAGCAATTCGTGAAATTACAAGATGAGATGAAGATGTTAAAAAATGAAGTTAAAAAATTGTTAACGTTCATTAAGAGTAAATGAGAAATCTGGCGTTGAAACTAGTTTATATTTATACTTTATTTATCACTGTTTATAACTATCAATAAATAAAAATGTTTCGCGTCATTGGACTTATTTTACGGAAGTTTAATTATTGGAAACTTCGAAAGAATCTTTTAAATTTTTTCAGATAGAATTTATTCGATTCTCTTTACTGCATTTATGAAACGATATTGAAATGACTACTTGAAGCAATCTGACTGGAATTTGTTTGGGATAAATTTCAGAAATTTATAATTGATATAAGAATCTCTATAGTAGATGCATTATTAGAGGTTATGACGCACAAGAAAAAAAACGAAATATTTAATACATTCATTCTTTTAGATACCCTAGAGAAAAAATTTATTATTTCTAATAAAAAAAAATATAACCTGAACATTTTATATAAAAAATGGAAATTATTACTCATATTTTTGCAATCAAAATATTAAAAGTACTCGTTTTTATTTAATTTATCATTTCATAAATCAAGGAAGTCTAAAATTGTAGACATATGCATTAATTATATTTAATTTTTTCTTGAAAATGTTTAACTATAGATGCACTGCTTTTTAGTATTTTATAAGCTTGCTCCTTATGATAGCGCATGTTTTATCACGCTTATAACACATTATTATTAGCAAACCAAATAAAATTACAAGATTTCATTTTTCATATTTGCAATGACCACAACTTAAATAAGAACGATTACATTACATTCATTCATTTTACATTCTTCTTTATATCATATTTTACTTTTGAATTAGAAAGGCAGAGGGATCCACCAACCTGACCCCCAAAAGAAGAACCTAAAGAGCGTAAAGTCAAAAAAAGAACTTTATTTGTGATAGAGTGTCGGTTTGATCTGTTGCGGTAGGCTTTTTTTTTTTAAAAAAATTCGAATTTTCTTTTTATTTATCTTTTAGATGAATTTTTAACGTCACCATCTGCATAGGTATTATCTTTCATTAAATAATTTATTTTTATTTTTTTTAGGCTGCTAGGACCGATTGTAGTAGGCCATAGAATTTTTTTTTCTTTTTTGATTAGTCTCCACTTTCGGGTTTGCTTCGACGGTTGGTATTTTTTTTATTATTATATTCATTTGTGTTCATTTTTTTTTATTTTTCAGTTCGATAGCTTCGGGCCGTAGCCATCTAATGTATTGAAAAAAATAACATTCAATAAATCTGAATATTAATGGAATATTATCAATAAAAGGTAATGGTAACTATTTATATTTTCTCGTATAGAGTATCTTCGTAAAAAAAAGTGTTTCCGTTGAAAAATGAATTACTTTCAAATATTAAAAACATAATTCGTGTTTTAAACGGTATCCCTAATATAAATCAATAGATATTATTTTAACTATTACAATATTTTTTTAATAATAAAATTATAGGAAGTTCTTTTAGATAAATACATTAAACAAACATTGGAGTCTCGAGATTTTAATCAAGTCTGGATGAAAATTTCCACAAAAACATAACGATACTATAAATTTCATTGAGAAACTAATAATTATGAATCCCCCCTTGCAAATATTTCAACACTCAAAAGTTCTGCTAGATTTCAGCTATGCAATTGTCAAAACATTTTTCAAAGTACATTATAACTTTTTTAATAAACGAATTAAAGCAGGAATCTCACCCGTCAATTAGATTCATCAATCAATTTACGTGTGACTGTATGTGTAAACTTGCATCCAAAAAAAAAAAAAATTTGCATGATAACGTTCCTTCTGTTTAATCATGTTTGATAGGACAACTGATGCGTAATCAATAATAATATGATATGGAAAGTAACGAATATTATCAAATAAAGGACGCGAAATATAAGCACTGCAGATTTATTATACTATTTGTTTTCTTTTATACGTAATCTCTGTTAATTCTCTTTTCCTTAATAAAGTAACGAAATCAAAAAAAAAAAAAAAATTGCTCGAAAAATTCATATAATTCAACAAAATAAGTTAGCCATGGTAAAGCCCCTGAAAGATTTATATATATACTGTGTATTAAATTCTAATATAGAATGTTAAGGTGGCATTTTTCGGCGTAAAAAAAAATTAGATTAGAAAGTTCGTGGAACTTTTGCTATAGAAAGGGGAAACTTGACGGAAAAAATAAATAAATCTAAATTCAAACGTATCTCGACCTGAAAATCATATTTAGCATATAAAAGTAAAATTAATTTTTTTCTGGCAATTCTCCCTTTCAAATGCAAAGGTCCATATTTTCAATATTCACTTTTATGATACCAGTCACTGGACGGCAGAGTCAACTCTGCAAAAACCAAGTGCGTATTTTCAAATGACTAAGCCGTGAAAACTCAATTAAATAAAAGTTTCAAAAAGGGATGGGATTTTAACAACTTTAATTCTGGCTAAAACTTTGATAATTTCAGTCGAATTGCAAAGTTATGATTGCTAACTTTAAATAAAAGACGCGACTCAGTTAACCGAGACTGTTTCATTTCAAGACAATTTAAACTTATATATTTTTTAGTTTTAAGTCTAAATCATAGGAAATATATCAACTAAAGTGTTATTTTATTTTTTAACAATCATACGATGTAATTGCCTCAAATAATTGATTTTTACAAATAAAAAAGTTTAAGTCGAAACAATATTCAAAATCATTATATAATTTCAACTCCTGACTTTGAATTCAAATCTATAAGTTTGTGATAAAAAAAATTTCCAATATTCATCCCAGCTAAGGACATTATATTGAAAACAAATAAAAAAATATATGAAATTAGAAGCAACGTATATACAATTATGAAGCATCCAAAGCCTTTACACAGAAAGAGTTACATAAAATACTGAAAACAAGCTCGTTAAATATTTATTTAAAACCATTACCCGCCACCCACAGCAGGGCGGGTCTTGACAAGTCCTTTTCACCAAGCTTGAGTGTTTCTCATTAGATGAAGGAGCTGAGAAAGCAACATGACTGAAGGCTGAAATGACGATAATAAGCATGAAAATGTGAGTTTTCATGATAATTTTATAAAATTCACATATTATAAATACATTTGTGATATTAATCCTTCAAATATTTTAAACAGAATCTTGTGGGAAATGCAGCTTAAAGACGTGTATTTATAAGCAAATCAGGTTAAATTATGTGATGGAATGGCTGTCTATTGACAATGTTATAACAAAATTTCCTCACTTTATATAGTTTTTTTTTAAGTATCGGGCTTACCGGGTTTTTCCTTAACAAACTTATATTTGCTTGCTGGAGATTCTCATAAAGAGCGTTACAGCCTTTACTAAGCCAAGAGGCTCTAGAAACGTAACTAAGCCAAATGGCTTTTGTAACGTACCTAAGCATATGTTAATAAATTCAAATTGCTTTTTATTTCGAAACTGTAATGATATATATAATTCAGCCCGAAAGATCACGATATATGCTTGTAAATTGCTTTTCGATAATTGTGACTAGTCTATGTAGATTTTTTGACCAGGCCAGGATGGTAGCGATATATTCAGTTCAGTTCTTTCGTTTATGTTATAAACAATTTTAAATGTAAGCAGAAAGTTTTTATTTAGTAAATATGAAATAATGTTGACGATAAATTTATTTAATAATTTTTTTTTGTCTCTATGACAAACAAAATTTTGCAAAATTTTATTTAATTTGCATTAAATATAAGATATTAATAAAATTATCTATTTTGTGAATTTTCTATTTTTGCTTTTAATAAAAATTTTGATAGACTTATTATAAAAACTTCTGATAAAATTTATCTAATAGTTACTAAATAAAAAAATTCAAATAAATAAGATTTCTAATAATAAGATATATTTGCTATTTAAGTATTTCTTTTCTATTATTCAATATAATGTATACTTACAGAAAGAATATTTTATATATATATATATTGCATATTACTACTGCTTGGTTTATTAAATATAAAAAATATAATATTGTTCTCAAGGATATCAAACAGTAAGATACAAGTTAATAGCTTACTTGAAATTAGAATAAACCATATTATTTCTTTTAGCTTATTAAATCTATCTCTAAACTATTGATTCTTTAAGATAAGAATAGTAATAATTAATATAAAGGTATTTTTATTAAAGAAATGGATTAATACAAAGATTCCTATTGTATCACTATAAACCATCAATTATAATCTTTTATATCTCCTAATTCTGTCTCAAATTTCTTGAGTTTATATATTAAAATATCACGTGATAATAGCTAACCATTTTTATTCTTTTCTGTTAGATTTCAATTATTTTTTTCTGTTTGTATTTCTGTTTTCTGTTTCTATTTTCTAATTTTCTTCCTATTTTCTGTTTTTGTTTTCTAGTTTTTTATATTCCATCTTCTTGTATCCTAAATATGATTAATTATAAGTATTTAACTAATTACATAATTTAGTATTTTGCCTATTCTAATCATATCTATCTAATAAATATCTATCTATTATTATATCATATTATATGATTTATTTTGCCTTAATCAATATATCATTTTATGTAATTATTATTTTACTATCTAATAAATTACTTTTTAATAAATTATTAATAAATTATTATTCAATAATTACAGTCTGACAGAAAAAACTGACAAATTTTTTTTTTAAATTTTAGAGTAGATCATAAGAAATACCTAAACAAAAATATAAATTATGATATAAACAAGTTGTTTACATTATATTTTTAATAAATATCTACAGCCTAGTAATTGTAAGCATCATCTAATAGTTTTACTAAAAGAGCGTTATTAATGTATTAAAGCTTTATGAAAAGGTAGCATTCGTAAGTCGCAAATCTTCAAAAAACTACTAGATATCTATTAAAAATATTATACAGATAGACCAAACAATTCAAAGAAATGAATAACCTTAAGCAAAAAAATCATCTAGAATGTTCAAAATATCTTTCTCCTTTCAGTATCGCTATCTTAGTCAAATTACAAAATCACACAAATGTGCTTTAAGTAATAAAATAACTGAAAACCTAAAAAAAAATATCTTGATCTTGATATTGCATCTTAGATAGTTAGAGAAAATCTTTACGACCTTGAGTATAAAGTTTGTATTCCTCATTCAGTTCTTTTCCTTACTAAATATATTATAAATCATCATATCACTTGAGCAAAAGCTCATCAAGAAGAATGTTGGAATAATATTATATTTTCTAATGAGTTGATATTTCAGATGTTTCATAATATAATGCTAGTTTATTACAAAGTTAGAAAAACAATGCTGAGACAAGTTATGGTAAAATATCCTTTTAAAGTTTATGTGTAGAATGCATTTTATATAAAGAGAATTATCAGATTTCACATGTTTACAAAAAACATGAATGGTGAGCTTTACCGGAAGATTATAACCAAAAAATTATTTGAACAAGCATCTCAAATCTTTTGAAACAGGTGGACATTCTAATAGGATAACAATCTTAAGCATCAAACTAAGCTTACAATCATTTTATTTTAGAATCATAATCTTTGAATTCTCGATTAGCTATCTTCTTCTCTAGATCTTAATTCAATTGAAAATCTATAGGTAATAATAAAAAGAAATTTTGAGAAGAAGATTAATATTATAGTTATTAAAAAAATCAATTACTTGAAACATTTTTATAAGGTTAATAAGGAAAGAATGAAAGGTAATTGATTGATATAAACTTATGTATTAATCTTGTAAGGTCTATGCTAAGGCATGTAAGAATAATAGTAGAAAGCTAAGGTTGCATAATAAATTTTTAGGATTTTTATATTTTTATTATATATATTTGAGAGGTTTAATTTTAAAATATTGGATTTTTTTAATAAAAGCTAGGTGAGAAATTTGTCAATTTGTAATTGTCAGTTTTTTTTATTAGAACTGTAGTCCTATAATAATATCAAATATCAATTTATATTAACTGATAATTGATATATATTAAATGACTAAACTTTCTTAAGATATTATAAGATCAGCTTAAAATAAACCTATAATTTAAACTAGTTATAGATGAGGGATGAAACTCCTTAATAACAGTTGAAACTTAGACAAAA